GAAAGAGAGACAGAAAGAGAGAGAGAAAGAGAGAGAGACAGAGAGAGGGGGAGAGAGAGAGGGTTAGTAAAATCTGCGAGTACTCACGTCCCGTTATCGGCGAGCGCAGGCTGTGGCCAAGCACGTGGTACAGGCTCTTCCTTGAGTATCTGCCTCATGTCCTGAGGCGCGAAAACGAGAGGCGCTCGCGGGTGGTGATGAGGCGGTGGCGGTGGCGGAGCTACGCTCGCCCCGTACAGCTTACGTCCCCAGTGGCCCTCGAGTTCGACGGGGCTTCCGCCACCGGTGGTGGTCCCTGTGCCACCCCCAGCGCCGAGTCCGAGCCATGGCGACCCCCCAGCACCCACGATCGTGGAGCTGGGCAGGAGACCGCTCCACTCGTCGGACCGCGTCGTAAGGCCGTACGGATTCTCCTGGGGCAACAGGCTTTCTGCTTCTCAGTGTCACCCTTCGCGAGAATTTCCCTGCGGCCCGTTCGTGCGAGCCTGTTCCGGCTGAACGAGAGAGGCTACCTCTCGGTCAGAACGATCCCGCCGAACGCCACGATTCTTCACGAGCGCACATCAATCGGATCTTCCGGCGTGGATGCTTCGCGGATACGCATTAATGTCCGTAACAGGTGCGACCCGCCACCCTGTCACAACATCAACTCCCGCGGCCCGACTGACTGCCGGCGCGAGCCACGCGTGTTCGCGAACGACTTCGAATCACCAGTTCACACGATCGACCCGGCACTACGATCGTTTCTACCTATTCCACTACTAACCACTCGTTTCTTTTTTTTCTTTATCTCTTGTTTTTCGTTTACTTTGCACTTAGGTCCGTTTACGAACGACTCCTACAGAGTCCCGCGTTCCCAAACGCGCGCGCCCCGGCAATCGTCACTGAACTGTCTCACTCGGTTGTCACACGCTATTTGCGAAGCGCGGCCGGTATAACTGCCGGAGAAGATTCGCCGGTCCCCGGTTCCGCGGGTAAATCTGAAACGTTCGTTTCTTTGGTTAAGCTACTCGGCCGAGTTCCCAAGCGTGTCCGCACGGCCAGTCCTCTGAGATTCTCGAACGATCCATTTGGGATGAAGTAATCGAGGCGGATACGCGTAGAGCAACGGTAATCTGAGCAGCAGGTGACGGTGGCGTAGTGCGTATATCGTCGGCACGAAAGTGTCGGTAGGGTGTCTCGTGACCAGAAGAGAGGTCCTTCAAGGTCCCCAGTCGCGCGTTGCTTCCCGTTACGGCGCCGCTTGTCGAATGTGTCAGGGCCGGCACGAGTGGCGTGCCAGCGAGTCCCAACGGGGACGGGTCTCGAGATTCTCGGTGGGTGTGGCTGCCGCGGACGCGCCGCGTCGGCCAGCCTGCCGAGTCTGCCTTGCCCATCCTCGAGTTTCCTCCAATCCACTCTGTTTCCCTTGACCAATCAGCGCGGCCACCCGTCGCACCACCGACGCCCACCGCGCCGCTGGAAGACGGTGGCGCCGTGACGGTAACGTCACGAGGCTGTTATTACGGCTCGCGCCGCGGTCGCTTTAGGCTGGTGTCGCGTCTTCTCGTCGTTTCGCTCGACATTCGAATCATGATTATTCGATGAAATCATTGACGAACAGTCATTTTGTTTTGACCAATCGTTAGATTCGTTGATAGACCTATCGTTTGGAGGAAAAAATGTATGGAATATGACCGCTGAACGGAATAAAACGTGAAAATTGTACGCGAGAAATCTCTTTTTCCGCGTGCAGGTTTTTTCGATAACGCTTGCGCATTTCTGTTTTTATCGACATACGAATTCGATTCAGATTAGACTCTTTTGTTTATTAATGGTACACTATTTTCGAAAATGATTGTTTAATAGTATAGTATAATTTTTTCGTAACAATCGCACTGTATGGAACAATGGAAATAAATATTAAAACCTGAAGAGTCAGAATCGAAATTACGATAACTTTCTTAAATTACAGTATTAGTCAAATGTTTGATGAACATTCGTAAAACGATGGTACCAGAACGACGAAGTCAGTTGACTCGGTGTACATTGCTGTGCGTTTGTTTATTCCATATTTGCCTAAATATGTTTTCGGAGCTTAAGAAGTATAACTGATTAAAATCTTAGATTTCAGACTTGGTAATGTAATCTGTAGATCATATTTTTCCGTGTTCGCGGGAAAATTGTGCTTTCGATTGTGAATGCCGCTTAACGAATTCCATCTGTGATAAAATGTCTTAAAAAGCAAGCATAATCGACGTAGTTAAAAAGAAAGGCCGAGCAATGACTGCTAGTCGAGTATTTACAAGTTGGCATGCTGAAATATACCCCTATGGTGAAGTAGTCGCTACCCTTTTCGGGCGAGACGTCGACGTCTAGCAAGGAAGCTATCTTGACGTGCAGACATTTAATGGCAGGTGCGTCACGTATCGTGAAGAAACACCTCACTTTGATGTGGAAGCTGCCTCGAACTCGCACCTAGCCTGCTCCAGTTTTTATCGAAGTGTAATCAAGTACGAGGAAATCCATGGTCTTTCCCTCAAGAGACCGTCGAGGCTCACTATATAGCAACTGGTCTACCTGATCTTCGTCTTGTCAGGTTTAGCGTTCTCGGTAATTTTCTACACCTGGTTATCACTTGTCTTCAAAGGAATCTGTGTTCAAAGAAAATCCTGTTTTCGTCGTTCTTTACGCGCTCATCAACGATTTGCTCTTCCGAAGATCATTAATTATCAGTCAAAAGCTATAACGTGACTTTTCCACGTTTCAGGCTTTTGTGTGTTACTGATTGCTTCCTGATTTTATCTGTCGTTACGATCTGCTGCACGATGTCGAGGTCGTATATCAGTTGTTTTACACGTGTTCTGACAAACGAATATCCACTTGAAACTAGTTTTAGACAACTTGACGTGTTTTAGGTTTGAAAAGTATGTTTGGGGGCTACTTTCTTAGATTTTATGAAAGTTTGCTCATACGATTAAATAAGGTTGCACAATTATTATATAATTTATTTGTAGAACTCACTATATAGGTATCTTTAATACAAAACATTATTTTCTGTGTAACATGGTTTTTTTCTCTCATTTAGCTTAGGTAAATGCAATAGGGAACGGTGAGGCAAGATGAAGACGCGGAACAAGGCTGGTCCATCGTCTTTTCCGTACTATTGTGTATCCATGTTATTAAAAATAAAAAACATATTTATTATACATTAAACGATCCACTGCCACTGGTTAGTGTCAATTTATATGGTTCTTGTGCGTTCGCCAGTCGTAATTCCTTCGCTTACGATCATATTCTTTGACATATTTTAAACATCAATAGCTAAGGAATAATTATGAATTAAAATATCATTTTATTACCATCAAATACTCAATATATTAACACTGTATACAACAGTTTTTACAGGCACAAAATCAGAAAATATAAAATTATACCGTAACTTTTGCTTAACGTTCCCGTCTTCTTGCATTTTCCCCCAAAAATATCAATCAGTTTGTAATGTATGAAAGGCTATATAGTAACTTTTAAATAATTTGTCTAAGTTACGATGAATTTTTTTCTTAGTTAAACTAATTGCAAAACATTAATGCAGAATTCAGTTATCCAATCGAACTGTGAAAAGTTCTCAATGCAACGGAAGTGCTATGCAAATCTTGAGTCCTATGACAATCTAGATTGGAAAAGTAATTATAGAATTTGTCTGAAAAAACGTATGCGTTAAGAAGAATCGACGGCAGTAAATCGTCAATTCAAGGAGGAGAGCGCAAAGCTGAGATCGTAGTGTTTCTCAATATTCTTGCTTTCTCGTCGAAAGACTATTACTTTTAAATTTGCTCGCGAGAAGATTCATGTCTGAGAAACACTGCTGCGAGGGTGTAGGGTCTATCAAGTGGAGATAATACATTCCGTGTCGGGTAATTTAGCTCCTCTTCCTTTTTCGTCGCCGACCTCCTCAGACACACTTCGGACGTTTTGCATTTGCAAACAACTGGAACGTCTTCAGAGTAAATTTATCGTTTCATATTTAATACTATAAAACAAATATTGAGACATTCAATTATTTCCTATGTAATTTCGCTGCCGTAAAGAACTTAATCACTTTAGGGAGAGATGTAAACAGTGTTTTCTAGGTGATCATGGGATTTTTAAGAATTGAAAGGTATAAAATATTTTAATAAATTTCAACAATAAATTCCAATATTTATTCACAATTTTATTTACAATTCAGTTTTCTTCAACGTCACTTTTGGAATATTTGAACAAAGCGACGAAGTGGAAATCTATAATGATTTTGGAAAAATAAGAGTTTCCACTTTAAAATTAATATTGTTTTGTAAATTTCAATTCTTTCTTCGTTATAACGAGCATATCAGATAATATTGTAAAATAATTGCATAATCAATATTTAAAAGCCCAAAATTAAAATCTTCTAATATCAAAAACATTCTATCGTTGATTATTGTTTAAAATATCTGATTATATATTTTGAAATGTCATATCATTAGGAAGACTTAAATTATTTTTATAAATCTAGAAAAATCATCGTTTATTTTTTCTACAATTCAAATACGCTTTTGTATATTTCATATAATACCTGTATAATAGGTAGGTTTATTTGAGCTACAGTATATGTTTTCTTATATGATTTCATCATTCCAGTAAATAAACAATAATGAAGGTTTCATGATGCGAAAGCGGTTTGATGTTATGTAACATAAAGACAGATAAATGTTCGTCACATGGTAGGATAATGAAGTTTAATGAGGGTCTGCAGGCGTTATTATGAAGCCTTCGAGATGTGCGCGTGCCAAACCGGTTCCACTCCCTCCTTTTTTCAAAAGCTCGTCTCTCAGAGTCGTGATTCATGAGATCCCTTTCGGCTGCTCAACAGCCTGTAACATTGCCATCTTATGGCAATGAGACGAGTAGTCCATAGTATGAGAGTACATTTAGAAACGGAGCTGCTACATTTGCCACGTGACTGTTTGATTCGAGAAAAAACCACTTCACAGCTTACAAAAAGTGTGATGTACGCCCCTTAACGTTTCAGCTAAAACCCGTTTGTAGTGTGGAATGATAATACGAATAAGGAATAATGATTTCGCATTTCTTAAATTCCACAGAAATTGCTATTTGTTCTTATTATATGCGTGTTACCTTCTGTAATATTGAAAGTGAGGTTTATATTAAAAGAGGGGACTATTTTTATGAAACAAGACAGTCACTGTGTTTAAATATGAATTTAGATTAATATACTACCTACCTGTCATTAGATAATTATTTCGACGCACAAATTTGTATCTTGACACTA